CTGCAGGTGTCTATCCTCAGGCAACCAAAGATGGGGGCCAGAGGAGAGGCCAGAGATTATTAGGGAGCTGATGCCTTAGTAAGGGCCTTCAACAAAAGGTTGGAGTTGGTGCCAAGACTCAGCCTCCTTGTGTCTCCCTGGTACGGCATTCATATTTTATGCTTGTCCCACACAGACTTTCAGAAAACACCAGCAGAACTGAGCCCAACCTTTCCACAGCAATGACCTGGTCAGTGAGGCCTGTTTTATGGGATATTCACTGTTTACTGTCACTTACTAGTGCTCTTGGGATCACTACCAAAAAGACCTATCCACACCTTGTCTCCAGAGTTCTTTTGGCGGAATACAATCAAAGACGCTTTCTGCAACTTCCAGGACCTAACCTAGATGCAAGCTGAGAATCACTTACATTTTGTAAGGATTTTTTAAAGGTCTCCGAATACTTCACAAAGAAGTCATCGTGTCTTTATCAAGGGTCCCGAGACATAGTAAAACCAGTAACAACCAATTTACTGTTCTAGATCATGCTAGAAATGCATGTCCAACTGGTTAAGGGGTATAGAGACTCCATGTAATGGATATTTTGGCTTTCCTTTTAGAGTGGGCATTATCCAGAATCCATTTGACCCTTTCATTTTCCTAATAGAATTTCATTTTGATCTGATTTTTCTCATAACTAGTGAAACATACAAGAAACCATACTCCACTCCAGAGGTGGACCCTGAGTTGCCTAAGCCAGTCGGCGGCGTGTGGCAGACCACATGGGTAGATAAATGACTAAAGTTGGCTCAATCATACTAAAAGGCCAGATGTATGATCTATATCTGAAGGGATATAGATACTTTTTCTGTCTTTTTTTTTCTTTGCTATTGGAGATGGGTAAAAAAATCATTTTGCTGGTTCACTGATAAAGCTGTTCTATGACCTTACAGGAAACCAGCCATAATCTAAAGCCAATGTCGATGCTTCCAGTGGAAGCACTAGAAAAAGGATCTTTAGTTCCTAAGACCATTGAACTACTGAATCACCCACCTAGGACTATTGCCCAGTGGTGTGCCAGTAATTGGCTTCGAGGAGGCTGAAAGGGGAAGCAAGCTGGAATTCCTGATTTGAAGTCTTTGCCAGTATTCAACAACAGGGTCTCAGGAGTTGGTACAAGGAAGTTTCAGTGTTACCAGCAAGCCATACCTGCAGATTGCTTATTGTGTAATGTGACACATTTTTTATTGTTTAAACCACTTGGAGTTGGGTACCAAAAAAAACCATACTAGCATCCCTTCCCAAGTCACTGTTTCAGCTTCTTAACAGAAATTCTCCTCTCTTTCTTCCACAGCTTATCATCTCAAGTCTAGCTGACCCTGGACTTCTGCAAGAATGGAGGTATGGATTAAGCCAGTCTACACAACCCATTTCTTCAACCATAGTCATTGGTGTGGTGTTTGCTTAGAAACGAAACTGTGCATTAAGAATGGCTCGCAGCACTCCTGGCTGGAGTACTAAAACAAAAGTGTCATTACCTACTGGATGTTGTGATGTACAGGCAGGTTCCAGGTTCAGTCTGACAAGTAGATATATGAAAAGATATATAAGAAGTATATATATAAAAAGGTAGAGCTAAGAGAAACACAAGGAACCATGACTGGAAGGACTAGATTAGGTTAATCAAACCCACCCTAACCCTGCACTTTCAGCAAGATATGCCAATGAATCTATAGTCTGCTTAAGTATCTGAGTTGGGTTTTTTTAATTATTGTCTGTCAGTGAAAACAGCCTGGTACTATGGTATATATTTCAAGTAAACTTTAATCTTCATAAAAATTCCAATGTCTTGAAACAACTTTCCCATTTTATATATGGAAAAACCAAGGCTCAAATGGATTAACTATTTGTTTCTACCATTAAGATTAAAATAAAAATTTCATCCCAAACCTGTATAACCCTCAGTTCTCTGCTATCATGAAATGTAGGTCTACACAGGAAATGCTAGTCTCTGCACTTCTCTCCTGAGTCCTGTTAAAAGACCCTATATAACCAAAAATCAAAACTAAAACAACTTGAGCATTAAAGTTCAAAATGTAAACCAAAACAAAACAAAATACATAATAACTAAAGCATGGCCTCTATGTTAATATAGAATTCTAAGTTCACATCTTGAAGGCCATACTCTTTTAATCTGAGCAAATAACAATAGTTTGTGAACATTTTTAAATGAAAATATAAAGGTATAGCCTTTTAACAAAATTGAGATAAATCTTCCCTTGCCATAGGAATGAAAATCAATGTAAAATGATGACTTCAACTCAAGCTGAAGCCCTGGTGATTCAATACCTGGGAAGCAATGAGACCTGGTCTTAGGTTTAGGAGAGAGGAAAGTACCCCACATGAGGCAGAAAGCAGCAAGCAAGCTCCCTTCCTAAAACCCGGGACTTGGCTGAGGCTGTAGTTCAGTTGCATAGCACTTGTTCAAAGTCCTAGATTCCGTGCTCAGCACACACAGAAAAAAGCTAAAATAAATCAAGCTACTGCTTGGTTTTCTGGCTTACCTAAAGCCATGGCCCTAAAAACTGGGAATACCTCAGTACAACCTTATAAACAATAGCTGAGCTAAGACACATGATTGGATGTTATAGTCCTGTATCTCAAGGGGTGTGAATCTTAAGATGCCTATGAATTCTGACACAAAATGAGGACTACAGAAGATCTGGTAAAACAACTCATATAAGTACTGGCCATGGAAAAGTTAGTGCCAAGAAACAGGAAAAATCTGTGATGAATCTACAAACCATGATCAAAGATACATGAAGAAAGTCACTTGAAGAAAACCAGCCCACAAAACTGACATAAAATCACTACAGTTAAAATAAGATAACAAAGCAATTTTAAACAGGACTTCAAGCTGGGCACCATGGCACATGCCTATAATCCCACGTACTAGGAGACCAAGTCAGGGAAAGCATTACGTTCCAAGCCAGCTTGGATAACATAGTGAGAGCCTTGTCTCAGAAAATACCTTGGTATATGGTTTTTGTTTTGTGTGTGTGTGTGTGTGTGTGTGTGTGTGTGTGTGTGAGAGAGAGAGAGAGAGAGAGAGAGAGAGAGAGAGAGAGAGAGAGAGAAAGAGAGAGAGAGTGAAAGAGAGAGAGTGAGAGAGAGAGATTATTTGTTTTTTACAGTACTGGGGAAAAACTTTAAATTTTCTTATATGTATTATCCAAACAGTTGTACAGAAACTGACAATTCAATATCTAGAAAATGTCTGATCATAGACTGGAGACCACCATGAGCATATCAATGAGGAAGACTATAATGTTTAAGTATGCAAGGCCATCATGTGATCTGTGACCTCCCTCTATAAATGATCTTTTTCTGCAGCTCATAGGTGGCATCTGGTTGATGCTTCTATCCAAGATGCTGGCTACAAACAAGACCAGGTTTACCGAATGAGGGTAACTTTGAACAAAGTTGTCCCCTCAAATCAGGAACATGGCTGTGATCCTTGCTACAGAAGTTATCCGCTTGAAGATTTGGTGTGAAACAGGAGGAAAGGAGCCGCACTCCCAAGTACAAAGACTTCAGCTTCATCCTCCTCCCAAAGGAACCCGAGGTTCTTGGCTAGAACTCATCAGAGTGGGCACAAGATGTTCTCTAAGTCAATTTCACCTTGCAGCGTGGGAGGGCCACTTCTGGCTAGGAAGAAGGCAGACTTGCCTTTTTCCTGTTCACATCTAGAAAACTAGATGCAGTGGCACGTACTTTGATCCTTCAGAAAACAGAAACTAATGAAGAAAACCCTGTGATCACTCAGACTTCTGCCTAAAGGCACATTTTGGACCCTAGCACAGCTGCGGGCCCCTACGTAATGCACAGCAATCTTGCTCACATGAAGAGCAGAGACTGAAGTTGAGGAGGCCAAAGGGAAAACTAGCTCCAGATCTACACAGGAGTCCTTTGAAGTCTTTGAGTGAGGAACTACTGAGTACAGTAAATAGAACAATTCCTAAGGATAAAAAAAGGACAGGAGATGTTGTAGTTCCAGCCAATCAGAGTACAGACCCATGGAGGGCCAGACTTTAGTACTAAGCTCACCCAGCCATGGAGTTAAGGCTGTTCTAATAAAGCCTTTGTTCTAATCTGCCCTAACAGAGATATCAGCCAGAATACCTACTATGGTAACCACTAAGTGTATGTGGCTACTGGACCTGTTAAAATGTGGATAGTTCAAGCTGACATGCGATTGTAAGTAAAAATAAAATACAAACAAGATTTCTCAGACTTAGTATAAAAATAATGTAAGCTATCTCATGAATAGATTTTATACAAAGTACTAGAATGTTAATACTTTGCAAACACTGGGTTAAATATTTATTTAAACTAAATTTTTAGGAAGATGAAAGAGAAGTTAGTGTTGACAGGAAAATTGTTTTTATAATGTTAACTGTAGCATATCAGATCAGCAAAACCAACTTGGTTATTTGGTCTGATAACTAATGAGTTACAGTCACACATCCTTTAAACCTTGTTACTATTCTATTTCTTATATTTGACTTTAGAGTTTAAACTAATTTTAGGGTTAACATAAAAACAATGGCTATGAGATTTTCTGTTCAAATCATGTTCTTGCCAATAAACAAACACAAAGAAATAAATACACTTTAAGGGCTTCAGAGAGACAGAGAGAGAGAGAATCCATGAGCCAAAAATTAGCTAAAATTTAATATTAGTTTCCTTACCAATAAATCCAACTCTCTGCAATATGAACTTTTTGAATCTACAGTTTAGTGTCTCTACTATGGTACTGTCTAATAAACAATCAGGTACTGTTTGGAAAAGTATTCTTGGCAGTATCTATGGCAATAATTACTCAACTTCTAAAAAGGTTTTAAAAAGGAAGTACCTTCTAAAAATCAAAGAATACTATAAAGATTCGTGACAGGTTATATTTTGCAGTAGTCAGAGAAGAGGAAAACAAAACCAAAAAGCAAACCCCCATCAACCCGAGATAACTCAAAATACTCAAAACTTTAATGAAATATTTTAATCTACATTGTGTATTTCCAAACATATCACAAAATAATTCTCCACAAATTGTAGCTCTTTAGGGAATTCTAAATATCTGTTTCATGCTATAGCTATCTTCACTTCATTGTACATCTATATAAGTATAAATATTATTTATTAAAATTCACATTTAAAAAAACTTTCAGAATGTTTGAATGTAAAACGCAACAAAGTAGTGGTGGGCAGAAAAGTTTGTTTGTGTAAGCACTAAAGAGTAACAAGTGTAGTTCTCAAATCCTGAGGATGATGTTAGCTTTGCTGAGTGCCAGCAGCCCTTTGGAGCCAGGTGGACACACAGAGAGCTAATGAACATTCTCCAGCATAGGGGAAAAGTAAGAACCTATCACCACTGGTGGTAGACAGGGGCTCACGTTATGACATAAAACTACCTCCTATAAAACTCTTTAGTCTCTCCAGACATATCCACGATTTTGAAGGGCAGTCTTGATTTTGGGGGGATCACTAAATATTTCTTTGGCAATCTTTACAGGCTTAGGAGTGTATTACACTTATCAAGGTGATCATCAAGGAGAAAATGGAGAAGTAACAAGACTCTAGTTATACTCTGCTGCTCAAAATGCTTATGACAGCTGAGTAAGAGGTAGATAGATCATTTTGTCAAGTAAAACAGCATATATAGAGAAAATATTCAAGCATTGTAATTTTATCTGCATTTTCCATGAAAATTCAAAACTGAAATATTACACAGTAAAATATCAATGATTTCTGCAAAGATTTTTGAGGTAGAAGTTTATTATTATTCAACTATATATGCAAGTTTTACCTGAACATGCTACTCCAGGTTTACAAATATGGTAAAATCTCATCGTGGAGTCTGGTAGTTAATATAGAGGCAAAGTACCTACTCCAGTGACTGACACTGCAACAGAGGGTCATAGATTCTACCGATTCATGGAACAGGCTCACCCCGTGGGTAGGCATTTGTACCAACATATATTAATTATATTAATTTCTGTAGGATTATATGTTAGAACACGACACTAAGCTTCTTCTTTTCCTTTGCATACACTCCTATTTGGGTACTTACTATACTACTGCATTTACTCTTGATGGGGTCTGTCTTCTTACCTAGATTTTGAACATTCTTAAAGGCTGACATTCTTACAAGGTCTTCAAAACTTGTAAATCAACATACTGGCTCTACAAATCTAATAAACAGAAAAATAAAATGCACTCACTAACAAGTCAAGCAATATTTACAACCTTCTACTACTGAAAAAATTTTTCACATTAAGTTTTCTATTTACTGACTGTACATAATCAACACTGAGCTAGTTGTTTTGAGCTCTAGGCCAAGCTTTGGTTTTCATTGTCACTTGTGAAGTTTGAATTTTCATGGTTGCGTCTCATGTCCTCCCGGATGATATCCTCAACTTTCTGTGCATAAGCAGCAAGTTTGGCTGCTTTGAGGCTTGTAATGAAAGTGTGGCATGCATTTTTCTTCCCATTAACCTGATACCAACTACGAAGCAGTTGAATTTTCTGCTCAGCTACATCTTGGAGACTTTCATTCTTGATGTCGTCTATTTTGGCTTCAGGGACACCATTCTTTCGAACAAATTTTCTAACATCATTTAGCATCATTAGTTCAGCAATCTTAGGTATATATTCACTAAAGTCAGCCTCTGAAAAACAGAAAATAGTCTCTGAAAATTTATCTCTCTAAATGAAATTCTTATCACTGAAATCCATGTCCATTTTCCCCTTTATCATACTTAAGAATACAGGTAAGCCCTAGAGAGCTAAACAACTTTATTGAGGAAAACCAAAAACAACCATGAGTTATAATTCCAGTTCCTTCTATATGCCCAGTAATTTTCTCTCTGACCTGCACACAACACATATCTTCCTATCTCAATTTTAAAAGAATTTTAAAGATCACCTCTAGTGGTTTTTTACAGAGTTAATGATCAATGACCCTCAAACCTAAAAGTACAGGCCAAGAGTTCATGATCCTCTCATCTCTGAATCATAGGTCAAAGATGGGAACCAAGCAGAAGAATGAATGTTGTTATAGAGTCGGGATAACCATAGTAACTATGTTTACAATTGAGTTTAATCTCTACATCAGTTCTGTAAATGCACCTGATTGTGAAGGAAAACTTTTTAAGCCTCAGAATACAGTGTCCTATTGTTATATAATTTATTTTTAATTTTGAGTGTTGTTATAGATTCAAATCATTTGATTAACCCCTAATAGTGTGAAAAAAGACCTGTGCCACCCCCATAATACATCACCAAATTTAGTAAAATAATTTCACTCTAAAATTGGCCTATTCCCTCAGAGGAAGCTGTCTCTAGGAAATAAAATGCTAAAAGCTTTACCTGAGAAATTCAGTGGCACTGTTTCTGTTTCCTGGGGTCAGGGTAACACAAAGAGAGATAAATAAACATGTATTTAGAATGTTACAGATGTCATCTTTTATTCTTCCTTAATTCTGAAGGAAGCACTATTAGCTGCCTGATGTGTAAATGTAAGAAACTAGACTAAATGATTACGAAGGGTTCTTTTATCATTCAAATTCTGATTCTGAAAGACTTTATGCAATATTGGCTCATTTTTTACAAAGGCAAAGAACCTAAGGAATTCATGAAATTAGCTGAGATTATTTTCCATATAGACTTATTAAACAGTAAACATACTCATTCTAAAATTTTCTTCACTGTAACTATTTTCTTTTTTGACACCAGAGAATGGCCCAAATTGAATTTTTGCTATCCTATTGATTCAAAGAACTCTAATTCCCCCTCAGCCCTAGCCTCAAGTGAGATCACTATTCCATTAACCAGAAATGGTTCTTCTTCTCAATATATCTTTTTGCTGTTTGAAATGCCTTGTTCACGTGTTGGAAGAAGGTGCTGCAGGCAACCGGCTGAACAGTTAGCTGGCAAGAGTCAAGCTGTGCTTTTTTATGATGGGTTTTAAAAGCAACCTTTTTGCCCGGGCTTGGATACTGAATCCATGCCTTGGTAAAGGCTGTTACTCTGTGGGGATAACTCCAACATGCAACATGGACCTAGACCACTTCCTGTTTTTCAGGACATATCCACTTCCTCCTTTGTTGCTTCTTACAGTGTTTATGTAAAAGATTACCTATAAATTAGGGAGCATATATTACTCATTTTTGATGCACACACATAGTACATGTTTACTTAAAAGAAAGTAACAAATAAAAAGCTGAATTACTACTTTATGTTTTCAAAAAGGCTGACGCATATTTCAATACCTACAGGAGGTGAGCTCTGGTAAAAGTTGTTCTTCCTGTAGCATTTCCTAAAAATATATAGCCCTGAAAGATCAAAGAAACATCTATCAGAATCAAATCTTTGCCTGGTGGGCATTGTGTGAGAACACTCTTTCACACTAAGAGAAGTATTGGAAGGAGACATTCATTAAAATTTAAAGTGGCCAGTGGCACTGTGTTCTTCGCACCCCACTGAGTCAAATGTTAAAGAGATAGACCACACCTTAATTGACTCATCTAGTCATCATACACTGATGCAGCACGAAGCTGGCTTTTTGACATATTGTATAGCCACCATCACACCCACTCCAGTATAGTGGGTGACACAGCTGTAGCCAGGAATGGAAGCCAATGGACCTGGAAAACTGAAGGCAACTTTCCACTGAGGAGCATTTAATTAGAAATTGGAAACTAGAAATTCCAATAGATGCACTCACAGATAAGTAAAATATACACACTCAGTGAGTACAAGTCTTGAAGTCAGTATGAGTTGTGTCTTGTTTACTTTTCTCTCTTTGCTGGAACAAAGTACCTGGTGCCCAGAATTAAGGAAGGAAAGATTTATTTAGCTCACAGTTTGTGGAGGTTTCAGTTCATACTTGCCTGGCTCCAAGGCAGAGTGGCACATGGAAGAGGGCAACAGTGCGTGGTGGCGGAAAAGAGCAAAAGCAACAAGAGCAAAAAGGAGGAGCAGTGAACAAGCTTCTTTCCCTCCCTTCTATTGTTTGCAGCATGAAGCTTTGGGGGGGGGGCATCTGACACAAACCATAACATTATGGAAGAAAGAATTTAATTCTCTAAGTACAAGTATAATGTTTAAACACTAACTATGTACTTTTAGCTAAACCACCTTTAAAGTTAAGACATTTTCAGCTAAAATAACGCCACAGTCCCTTTTTCCAACAGAGAAGGAAAAGATCCTCAGTCATTGAAAGTTGCTGCAACCCTGTGTATTATGGATTTTTTTAAAAGGGATTTTCCAGACTATCTATGAATATAGTCACCTTTGGCTTATCCACTGAATTTACTAAGTAATCCTTGCATAAAATATATTACCATAATATTTTAAATTAAGGAAGAGGATTAATTCTTTTAAAGACATACAATTTGGTCCAGAGAGAGGAAGAACAGAGGGACAAATTTATCAACTGCTCTCTATAATACTATGCCAGGCAAGGCCTTTGATTTTTGTGTTCTCTTAATGCATTGAGAAGTATTAATGAATAATAAAAGATTACTTCTCTTTTTTAGCCAACTCAACCACTACGGAGAAGCCTTGTTCATAAGCAGGATGGAATTACTGCCCTAACCCTAAAACTGGTGCTCACAGAAATTCTTATCAATTCTCAGTGGTGCATTCAGTGGCAGTGATAGACAGTATAGCAGAGCTATCTACATGATAGCTTTCTTATAGGTAGGAAATGGAGAAAAGTCTTTATGAATAACTACTTCTCAAGGAATTGCAGTATATGGTTAAAATAAACTAAGAACTCACCCAAAACTAGCAAAATTGGGAGCATGAGCATAAACAACCACCGCCAGTCGAAACCTGTAACTTGGAACATTAAACAGTTATATGAAAGTGGGCAAACTTCAATGTTAAACAAAGTGCTACACTTTCAAGTAATCAAAAACAAGTGCCTTTTGTTCATAGCTAACAGTGGGGATGGAAGGGTGGGAATATTACTTTCTTCTTTGCATCTGGTGTTGTTGGTTGGTGTGCATTTCTCAATGATTCCATGTTCACACCTGAAAAAGAAAACAGAAAACTCAGAAAGCCTGGAGAGATTGATTCATCATCTTCTATTAGATTAGAGACCATTTTACTCATCTTTGCATCCTGGGAGACATTTTCTCTTCAATACGTATAGATAAGTATCTAAAGCTGGTACAGGTTAATGATGAGATTTCTTAAACAGTGATTTATGATATCAAAAGTTAGAGGAAGGTGATGAAATACTGACATACAAAAAAAACAAAAATTCATTTCAAAACTGGCAGTAAACTGACCTCTTAAAACATTGGGGTTTAATTGATCTTCTATAATAAAGTACTAAGAACAATTTCAGAAATTTTAAAACATGAAAATGGCCACATAGCAGCTACTGCCCAGGATGCTACATAGGGAAGGTAATCGGTTCACCCTACAAGTGCTACTTTGGCACCAAGTGATGACTGCAGACTTGAGAAGCCCATGTGGGATTTTCTTCAGACAGCCAAACACTCACAGTCATTCTCTGAGCTCACAGTCTACCTCTGCTATTCTTAACTTGATCTTGGGCAAATCCTTAACCTCCACAAGCCTTTTATCGCATTAGTAATATAGAGAAAATGATATTATCTACCTCAAAGAGTTATGATGATAAGAAAATGATATCAAGACTTAAAAGTAGTTAGAAATACTATTCTTGTTATTATTTGACAGGTTAGCTCCTTACCACAACCATTACCTATTTCTATCACCACGAGGGCATGCTCAGACATTTGGGCTAGCAGGGAGAGGATAGGGTAGCAAATAAGACATAAGCATCAGGTCCCCACTTTTAAAGGCTATTAGATGAATTCCCCAAAGTTTTCCAAGGTGGATCATAAGTTTCAGGAGAGGCAAGTGAATAGCAATCCTAAACATTTCATGCAACACAATATCGTACAAGGCAAAAATTACTTTTGTAACACATATCACCCAATCTGATGTCTATAGAATGTGCCAGATGGAACAAAATAAATGTTACCTGCATCTTTTAATAGAGAAACTGAAGCTCAGAGGGTAAGTGGTCTGCTCAAAGGATCACAGTGAGTCAAGAGAAAAGTGAGAGGCACCATCGGGTTTTCTAGCTTTGGGTAAAAACCATGCTGTTTAGTATGAAAGACAAGGACCTTGGTGATCTGGCCCCTGGATCCCTCATAGTCTTTTCCTTCTGTAGCTAGTACTGTGTTCTACAAAGCTTCCTATTTACAAATTTGCAGCCACTGTTACCTCGACTGAAATAGCCTTCCCCTCAAGTGTACCTGGGTGGAAATGCTATTTCTTTTCTTCCTCAAGACTCAAGCTGTGTGTCAAACTTCTCTTCCATATCCTCTGGCAGGGTTGAAAGGGCTTCCTGTATAACCTGTAACACCTTGGACATAAATTTCTTCGTATGTTTGCCACATGGTGTTGACATGTAATCACCACTGCTTTTCTGGCTATCTTTGACTCTAGACTGTGGCCTTCTAGATGGAAATGACTCCTGCTCAGATTATTAGCTTCGCAAACACATCGGTATCAAGTGCACAGGAAGTGTTCAATTACGGTTCAATGACTAAAAAATGTTCAACAACCCCAATACTGTCTGAATGAGCAAATGGTCATCAAGTCGTATGAAGAAAAATAAGACTAACACCCACATTTCTAACTCTTGGTCAGTGTGGCTCCTCTCTAAGAAGACAGTACTGGGGCTGGGGATTTAGCTCAGCGGCAAAAGCACCTGCTTGGCAAGCGCAAGGTCGTGAGTTCAGTTCCCGGTACCGGAGAAAAACCAAAAAAAAAATAAAAAAAAAAAAATAAGAAGACAGTACCTTTCAAGGTGCAGGGAGTATTTTAATCAGCGAGAGACTCAACTTACGTGATGCAGGGCTCACAGTGCTCACATACAGAAGAGCTACAATAAAAGTTTGCTTTACATCTGCATTTGGTATCCTGGGTTCGCGTACAGTTTCTTTCCACTTCTAAGCCTGGAAAATCAGTTCGCAAGCTATTAATTGCAACACCTAGTTAAAAATGAACTACAAAAATAACAGCAAAGAGCCACATGGATCTCAGACCCACTGCTTTCATCAATAGTCATATCATCATGCTTTTGGTTACACAAGTAGTGTTTAATCGTCAAATAGGTAACCCCAAGTTGAAACAGCCAACAGTCATTCAAAGGAGTTTTAAGTGGACAGGCAATCCAGCAATTAAGGTAATCCCCACCGTTTAGACTGCTCACCTGTTCCTCTTAGTCTAGAGCCTCAGTACTCAAAAATATAGACCACAAACCAAAAACATCAGCTTTACCCAGAGCTTGTTGTAGTGTCACTTGTGTATCAAGTCCCACCATAGACTTCATCTGCCCACAACCAAAACCCTCATTTAGAGACTCTGACTAAACTGCTCTTTTCTGGCACCGAAACACTGGTACTGTAATTGCCCTGTAGGCAGTTCTGATGCTCAGCCAAGGTGGAAGAAGCTCACTTCAGAGCCTGAATAAAGACAAGAAAAGCTTTATGTCCATTGATTTCTGATGACAAACAAAAGTAGGGATACTTCTATTAAATTTTAACCTAGACCCTCAGAATAAATTGAAATATACATGAAAATCCAGGTGCCCAAGTAGAATTATCAGGAAAAGTCAGATCTCCAAAGGAGGAATGATACCCTATCCACATCTTGCATTTCTCTGCCATCATACAAGCATAAATCAAGACAGGAAAAAAAAAAATAGTTTCTGTGGTTTGGATTGGAGCTGATGCCCTCTCTTCATAGAGCTGATACTTACTGGGAGTCATGTGCCTTCTCTGGAGAACTGCCAGTAATTAAGCCCCAAAGTGATTATTAGCTCAGTATCTGGTCCTGCATTACCTCAATTGGCTATGTCCAGCCCCTTCCTATATGTGAACATGGCACCAGAGTAGGTCCCAATCTCAAATGGCATTATAAATGGTTCTACCTGAAGTACTATGATTGGCCTCTTTTGATTGCTTTTGAAAATACTCACCGAGTCCTGCATCACAAAATGCACATCGTCTGCATTTAGGGGAATAGTGCTCCTTGTCTGTGTACTCTTCCCCTTCTTTGCAGAGCACGCACACTGGTTCACCTTCATCAGACGTGCAGTCAGCAGCTTTCCTTTTGCCTGACCAGGGAAAAAAGAGGCCAGTTCTTGAAGGCAAGATGGCATATAACGACAGGAGACATAAGCAGGGATGGTTAAAAAAGCTGTTAAAATTGGAAATGGAGTGGATGGGTGTTAGGTTAATGATACATAAATACAACTGGGAACAGTGTTATTGTAAAAATTGTGTCAAAAGCCAGAAATCCTTCCAAGGGAAAAGCTAAAAGAGTGCAGGAATATGCCTAAAGAAACAGAATGATTAACGATAGAAGGATATTTTTTAAAAGATGGAGGGAGTTTAGGGTGGCCAAATGCACCAAAAGAAATACTTTGTACCAACTAACTTCTTTAGTGAAAGGGGACAGTTTGGAAGGAGTATATCCAGAGTGGAGATGGTTGTCACCGACTACTGAGATTACACAACTAATTCACTTTGCTTGGATTTCTGAATTTACTTTCTAAAATCTACAATCCTAATACAAGGATAGCTGAAGGAAAGAAAATATTCGATGTTCTAATGATTTGGGTCATGTCTTTATTAGCTACAGCGTATTTAACAAAGAGCTTAGCCTCTGTCAGCCTAAACTTTGTCGGGCACATAATGGAGGTGCCTTCCAGTGCTTCCCCTTGCATCGCTGTGGGAACTGCGCACATCCTGCCTGGGGAATGCCCACAGCGCTACAGCGCCCTCTTCTGTCTCTTTTCCTTCTATTCTTTTTCCATCCGGGAACAAAGTGTGTCTTGATGAGCATGCGTAAACATGTTTATAATAAAATTTACTACCAGATTTGTTACCTTAATCATCCACTTTTAAACATTGTTTACATTTGAGTTATTTTAGAAAATCAAATAAGTCACTGTAGTACAATCACTAAACATCATACAATTTCTTCTGAAAAATTCACGTATTTAACAAGTATTTATTAAATGCCTATTGCATTTTGTAGGTATATGACCTTCTCAATAAACTAATAGCATTCTTTTTGCAGCATATTTACCACATAAGCAGATTATGAAATGTACATATATATATTTTAGTAGGCAAAGACAATAATCTGTCAGTAGAAAAATATAAACAAGCCATGGAAACCCCAAAGCAAATTCAAACATAGGACCCCAGGGCCGTATAATATTGCAGCAGTATTTCAAAGAAACAGCAAAAGAATAATTGTAGTTCTTGCTAGTGGTCTTATGCTGGTTTCCAAATGAATTGACCTCTTTAATGAACTACCCTTCAGAATATGCTGAACACAACGTATACAGCACGACAGAGATGCAATAACGCACAGACTCTTTTCTTCTCTGAAGTATACAACCTGAATTTATTAAACTATGAAAAACAAGTGATGTTTTCTTGAAAATTAAACTTTAACATATATTGCTTGAGTATAATAACATCTATTTACTGTAGAAAATTTGGAAAAGAGAAGAAAATGTTAAAATACATGTATATCTAGTACCTTGAGATATTTATTTCCTATTCTTTTCTTTTCTTTTAGAACAGGGTCTTGCTATGCAGTCCAGGCTGGCCTTGAGCTCTCAACGATCCTTCTGCCTCAGCCTCCTGAGTGCTGGGAGTACAGGCCTGCACCACCATGCCCGGCATTCCTATTATTTCCTTATAATCCTGAGCATACATACATACAGATATATGTATATACATAAGTATATGTATATGCAGCTATATATACATATATAGTGTATGCAATACACTGCAGAATTCTTACTGAACATAGTGATGTGGTAAGGATTTTTGAGTAATAAAAACTCAATTCATATATAGAATCATTCAAAATAAGGCATTTATTTTAATAAATAATCACTATATGATCATTTGCCAATCATGTGGAATCAAATTATTAGAATTTCAAATTCTTTGTTACATAACATATCACTTATGATTTCCTGTTCTTAATCTCTTTCATTTCTTCTGACTTTCCTTTCCTTCACCTCTTCTTCTTTCCTTTCTTTCTGATTAGGAAAGGTTATAAATATGTCAAGTCTGAATGGCTCAAATTCTCTAAAACATTCAGCCTAGTTTTCCTGGAAATGAAACCTACCTTTTCTCATTTGTATTTTGTTGATTTATCCAATAGTTAGTTAAATATTACATATTACTATCACAACAGCAATGAGTATAAACACATTGAATTAATTTGAATATTGGTAAGCCTAAATTTAACAAGGGAAAATAGGAGAATAAAAGTAGAAGGCATCTTTCACTGGATGACATGCAGGACACATTAGGGAAGCACAGAAAGCCTGCTACTCCACCCAGCAAACCAGCTGGAAATCACTAACGGAGATTTATATAACTGAGGTTATAGCCAGGTGTTGTAGTGCACTCCTGTGATCCCAGCACTTGGAAGGCAGAGGCAAAAGGATCATCACGAGATTAAGACCAGCCTGGGCTACATATTAAGTTCAAGTCCAGCCTGAATTATACAGCAAGACTTGTCTTAAAAAATATGAATAATGACTGATGACTACATTAGAAACACACAAGAAACTTTGATACACTGTGGCTTGGATTAATACATACTATTCAAGCCTTTGGTTACTCCAGAATTTATCTAAACAGTCCCAGACTACTAGCTGTCACAATGAAGTGCCATGCATAAAATATTTTTTATAATTTTCCCTAGGCATTTTCTATAAATAAATTACTGTTTCAGTATGTGCAACTGTTTTCAGGGCTTTGACTCACATCCAAGTTCTTTCTTAAAAATATATAATTGTTTTGATTCCTATAGTAGTACACAAGAGTTCTTATTTCATAAGTAATTTCTCCAAGGCAGAGATCACTTATTAAATGAAAATAAGACAAAGCAATTTTTAAAAAAATCAAACAAATTATGTTTCAGATTTTAAATATGTGAACAAGGACTTCAGTTCACAGGGTAAGCACTATTTGACAAGTTATTTTTTTAAAATCAAGAAGCCCTCTCTATTCCTGTGTGGAAAAGTGTAAGTGGGAAAGGGTTTAGGCATAAATGGGTTATAGTATAAGGGGAAATTTTCCAGAACATTTATTAAAATCCAGACAGGAGGCCAAAGAGGACTATTCAAATCTTTTTATATACATGACCCATACTTGGTTTGCACTTCGAGTGCTAGAAGCCTAGGAGGCCAACATGAGACTTATTGAAGTTTTGTTAGGTCTATTATCTATTGCATAAATATCATATAAACCCATGTGTTATTTCCTTTATCTTCCTGCCTTCACAAATGAGTTGAGAGAGATCTACATCCCATGCAATAATAATAAGTTCAGTTGGAAAAAAGTTTGCACAGTTGTATTTTTCTTAGTTTCTAATTTTCTAGTGTTTGAAGGATTTCTAAATTGAAGTTGGTTTGTAACTCAAAATACTGATTTTCAGAGCAAAGACAAATAGCTTTCTTCAAGATCTAATTGAAGGGAGGTGCTTAGACATACCCTTTAATGGTAGAAATCCCTTGCTTTCAGAGTACTATTATTATTCTGATACATCCAAGTCGGTTTTGAGATGACAAGCTTTAATACCCACAAATGCGTCACCTCTTTTGCTTGTGAGAAGTGGAGCTAAATAGATAAACCTTCCCATTTCAGAGGTATATGTCATTTATAAATTATACTTATTCATAATCACATCAAACAACTGTGATAAAGATTAATGAAACTGGTCTTTGGAAAATAATTGCATTCTTGTAGTAATACTATATACCGTAGGAGAAGCAAAAGCCATAAAACATTCTAGTTACTGTTGGTGTATGCTACCATATGTGTTGTGTAACCTACCAGGAGGACATGGCTGGCAGCAGAATTGACCTCCACGGTGCAAGCCTGCTGAGCACTGGGTCTCTGCGTTAGTAACTGCGTTCCTCAACTCGAACCCTTCGGAGTCTGTATCAGTCACTCGAGCACTCACAGTTTGGGGCGATGGTCCAGCAATGAAGGTAAATACCTGTAGAAACAATGCACAAGGAGAACTTCTGAAAGAAGAAGCTTGGAAAACAGGTATCGCCCGCCCAGAGTAGCTGTATATGCTGTGCACAGGCAAAGCCACTGCAGCAGCTCCGTCCTGAGCTGCCTAGTGGCCAGTAAGAGAGCAGACTGTGTGCACAGCAGGTGCTCTAAGTCACACTAAAACCATCCCTGTTCATGCCAGGAGCCAGGGTTCTGCTCAAAGTTGAGTTGGTTTCCACTTGCTGCCCTGTGTCTGAGGGTGAAGGCACTGAAATTTTCCAAGTCTCCATTTCTTTATCTATACAGTAGAAATAACCTCTTCTTTGGAGTTCCGTTGTGATAATTAAATAGCTTGAAGCTCTCAGGATAGTGCCAGGTACATAATAAACAGGGGTCCTATAAGTAGTACTAATAGTAACATTCCAATTTCCAATAAGGGGCAGTACTGTGGAGTAAGAAAAAATGTAAAAATAATAGTAATAATAATAATAATAGTAATAATAATGATCCTGCAATTTGAATCTCAATTCTGCTACCAACAGTGTGACTTTAGGGAAGACATGTAGCTACTCTGATCCTCAATTTCTTCATCTGTTAATTGAGAATAATGTTTTCTATAATAAAGGGCTGTTATAAGGATTAAAAAGTGGTCATTTCCATCAAACCTAATACTAAGCTTATAGCATGCCTCCTTTCCCCTTTGTGTATGCAGTTCACACGGTCAATAATTCTTATTAAACCTTCAGTATTATCCAAGCATACAATAAATATCTCACTAAATCCCATAGGATTTTCTTCACCTACGTCCAGGAAAAATGGACCTTTCCTTATTAAGAGCCAATCTTCAATTAACTTTTGATTCCTTTCTTCAACTAAACTCCAAGTGACCTTGTATCAAATTTATCTCCGCTAGCTATAAAATGGAGTTACTTAGGAAAATTAACAAAAAGTATGAACACATTTGGATGTAACCCCTGGTTGAGCCCTTCTGTTGAGCTTCCTAAGTATTTACCTCTGTAAATATGAATTAAAGTAATCACTCATATATAATATGTAAATTATACCACCAATCATCAAAATTTTTAAGCTATTAGTTCTGAGTTCTATTTATTCAAGGCATTTTTTATAGTTTTCCTGGCATGCCTTGAATTTTCAATCCCTCTAATACATACACAGTACAGTTACAACACTGTTTCTGATGAATCAGGAGAACTAAATATTTTAAGTATATAAATCTTGGCCACAGAAGTCCTACTTCCCTCTCAGCTTTTCCCCTTTATCACCAAAGCAGGTTTCCCCCTTTGGGTGCCAGGATACCATGGGACCTCTAAGCTAGAAAGCATAAGAGATACAGTGGTCCACTTTTCCTTCTAGAACAGAAATGTCTTAAGATGAATTTGTAACATCTAGAAGTCCAAGGACAAAAATAACACCAAACTATTGAGAGAATACTTGTTTTGTCCATGGTCATTCAGTAGCCAAATATAAAGTTAAAATTTGTCAAAATGTCTTAAATTTTATTATAAATATCTTTCCCCCTACACTCAGAAATGGATGAAATTAGCACAGAATTTAATTCACTTTCTGCCTATGAACAATTCTATGTAATGAACCACTGAATCGATAAACAGCTGAGGAGAATTGTGCCTAAATATGCTGACTTCACAGCCAAACAACTGCCAATTCCATCCAAAAGGCATCTGAGAATACAAAGATTGTATTGGGAAATTACTGTTAAATTTCTGAGAGCAAATCCCAGACCCCATCACCCTAGTTAACACTGCACCACTAAGCTATACCTCCAGCCCATGGCTCTTGCTTACAGTCAAATCTATTGCTTTTTCTCTAAGGTACAAAAACATGTAGCTTTGAATAAAGTACCATTATTGGCATCAATTTCTCTTTTATTTTTTTTTTTTTTTGGTTTTTCTCCGGTACCGGGAACCGAATTCACGACCTTGTGCTTGCCAGGCAGGCGCTTTTGCCGCTGAGCTAAATCCCCAGCCCCCAATTTCTCTTTTTTATAATAACAGTTCTCACTTCTTTGTCTGCAACAAAGGTTCATGATGTCATCTTGTTAACATTCATCCTTTTTATATCAGAGAATCAATACTAGTGAACAGTAATAAAATTGGGTGCTCTAGGAAATAGTAATTTGATTGTGAATATAATAAAAGGTTAATTGCTAAGATGGGAGCATGAAAATTGTTCATATTTTGAGGACTCCTTATTCTGTAGAATAACTATCTCAAAGCGCTGTTTGTCAGTGAAAATTTAATCAGACTAACTGTTTAGCATTCCAGACCTTGACATCACATAATATCCTTAAACCCTAGCCAGGTATGGTGGTACATGCCCACAATTCCAGCACTTTGGGAGACATAGGCAGAAGAATTGCAAGTTGAGCCCAGCCCAGGCAACTTAGCAACTTAGTAAGACCCTATCACAATATTAAAAGAAAAAAAATTTTAAGGGCTGGGGATGTAACTTAGTGGGAAGGCTCTGGATTCAATCCCCAGTACTGAAAGAAAAAAAAAAGTTAATGGTGAGGTATGACTTGCTTTCCTTCTCTTTCAATTCTGGTTTTTCATCAGAAACAAGAAAAATAGCAAATTAAGCTCAAAGGAATACAGTGTTCAAGGACTGAGCTCAAATTGAAATCCAAAACATTCCAGGTTGATGCCCAGTGTTTGTATGTGTGTTCCCTATGGGGAGAGGGCACTATCCTCTTTGGTATGCCGATTTCAGCCAATATCTGGGAGACAGTATTATGAGCAGGTCCACAATTTCCAGTTCAAATGGTCAGGTACTCAGGGAAGCAGCACATTCTGTATTTATGGACTGTTGCTACTAGTGCCATTACAAGCAGAGTGACATATCAGGGACTAAAGAAAACTAACCACATTGAGACACCTGTTAAAGATCACTCCAAAAACAGTATGGCAGTTGAGGGATGATCTAGGATTTGAACAGGAAGTGAAATGAAAGTCACCATTTTGTCTTTTCTTAGTTTTTGTTTTGATTTTTTTGGAACTGGGAATCGAACTCAGGCCCTGGCACTTGCCAGGCAGGCACCATGCCACTGAGCTATACTCCTGACCCCTTGTCTTTTCTTAGTGAAGCTCAAAACAAACAGGAAAAGACAACGTAGCACCAAAAAAAGTGTCGAGTGGTTACAAATGTTTGCCTTCCAAATGGCAAGAATGAGTGGACGGATGCCTGGCAGTCAGTGAGATTTTCAATACTGAGCACAGGTGTCACACTGACGACAGGGGATGTGGTCACAGTGAGGCACCCGCATGCCATAAGGCAATCACAGTGAGGAGGTTCTACTTCTATCCTGTTATGGTTTGCATCTAGATGCCCCACCAAAGTCTCATGCAGTCATGGGGAGGGCTTCTAGAGTTTGTGACTGACTCACGGTCCAGTGCTGAGATTAAAGGTGAGAATGCTACACCTACCCTAGGGGAGGCAGCCTGCATACAGTATAAGGGAGGAAAAGAGGCTTGCTCTTTCTCTCCTTTCTTGTTACCTTTGCTGTCTTCTGCCACCATGAACTGCTGTCCTCTGCCATGCCACTCTGCCTTGGAGCCAGCCAATTATGGACTGAAACAGCCATAGACTGTGAGCTAAATAAACCTTTCCTCCTTTAACTTTGGGTGAGTGGTATTTTGTATGAGCAATGAGAGAAAAAGTAACTAGGACATATCCAAAGCCCACAGAACAGTTGCTGCAGTAAGACCAAAATATGTAATGCTCAATTACTGCAGAAAAATTATATCTTGAGGGAAGATTTTAATAGTGATCCAGACAATTCAATATCAGAAGTGTAAGAACTGAATAAATGAAAGGGGAAAAAAAAAACAAGGATATTTCAAGAAAAAACTCTCAGCAGGAAACTATCTTTTTTTTTTTTTTTTTGAGCCAGGATCTGCCTATATAGTTCAGTCTGGCCTTGAGCTCACTATGTAGCCCAGATTGCCCTTAAACTCATGGTGACCACCTCTGAGGGCTGGGATTAAGGCATGCACCACCACACCTGGCTGGAATATTGTCTTTTGCACAATGACATTTTGATAATCTTTATTTCTGGGTATAGACTGAGTGATTTCATTTTACTGAACTCATCTGTTTTATGTTTTTTCAGTGGACAGTGTGCATTGTATCCTAACAAAAATCAAAAGGGGCAAAATTAGCAGTAGTATTAAGTCTAAATATCTGTATTGATTTATCATTTGTATTATTTTTTCAAGGACTTTAAAAATCTGGAATCTATAATGTCTGCTTACTTAGTATTTCAAAGGTAGAAAAATTCTATTTGAATCAATAGCATTTAATCTTTCATATATATACTTTTACATATATGTGTAATCATTGTGTGTGTGTGTGTGTGTTACTGGGGATTGAACGCAGGGACTTAGCACTGAACTATACCTCGAGCCCCTTCTAAAAAGTTTTTTGTTTTATTTTTGTTTTTACTTTGAAGCATTCTGTCACTAAATCAATAAGTTGCCCACAATGCCTGGTAATATAAATTTATGGTCTTTTGTTGTTGTTATTTTGTTTTCTAGGTTTTATTTTGGCAGTCATATAATTTTACTAAATCAAATATTAACATTAACCTTTGTTTAGCTGAACAAATTTCCTTAACTTGGTGTGATCAGGGCTATTTTATTTCATCCACTAACACTATGAATCACTCAGAGTAACAGTGCTATTTTGTGGTGACAAAAATCGTTTCATTTTTGAAGAAATGTTATAAGATATAAACTTGTATCATATTAGAGGGACCAGCTTAATATAGGATTTTGTTTTGTTTTGTTTTGTTTTTTGGTTTTTTTTGGTATCAGGAATCAAACTCACCACCTTGCACTTGCCAGGCAGGCGCTGTGCCACTGAGCTAAATCCCCAGCCTTTAATATAGGATTTTGAAAGCTTGATTATACAAATCACTTCAAATGTTGCTACAGTTTTCAGTAATTTCTATCTCTAATGAAT